AGTGAGATCAACTGTAGGATGAAATCAAAATCACAGCAATTCATTTTATGCCATTTAAATTTCAATTCATTAAGTTATTGAGAAAATAATTCCGTTGTTTGCATTTCAAATATTTTGATTTATTAAAGAATATAAGCAATGTTTAATTTCTTTTTTGAAATAATTTTGAAAAGGTCAAAATAGGCAATGCAACAACGATAGAATCATTTTACAGTAATCATAATACGTTAATAGCAGTATTAATTATTTTCAATAATTGCGATGGGAAATTTTTTTGGACATAATTGGTAAAGTTGAATTTCATGCAAATTAAAATTTAAAAACAATGATTTTTAGAAATTTCGAAATCAAAAATTAAAGCAATTTTATCATATGACCATATTTCGTAGCAAAGTAGGAGGCATTATGTGAAATTTCAAAATTCATATTTTATGGTGTATCATTTGAAAAACAGCCTTAAATATTTGAAAAATTCAAGACTACTCTCGTTGTCAATTATGATTGAATAAATTGACAAAAAATAAGTCAATGACTAAAACATATCATGAGAGAAATTTTTCCAAAAATTTGAAAACAAACTTTATAAATTTTATTTAAACTTGAAATGATAACAGTTTATGAGCAATAATTTTTCGTTCAGCATCGAATATATTCATATATTTTGGGCATGGATGAAAGAAGTGCTTAGAGTGCTACTTAATTTAAATCTAATAATGATTGGAGAAAGCTTTCCGAAATTCAAATTACGAGCCTCTTCATTCCAATTGATGGAGTGTAATTGATTTAGCTGAAGATTTGGTCGCTTAGAAAGCGATTGTACAGATTTGGTTCATGCAACAGGAAAAAAAAAAAGCAAACGTTTATATTGAGGGATGCTAAATGTTGACGGAAACTTTCCGGTTTCTTCGATGAACAGTATTCCGGATCAAAGAATTGAAAATTATCCGAAAGAAACAAATTGTTTCTGATGAAATATTTTTGTGAATTAAATGAGCAAAAGAAATGAATAATTTTCCACACTTGTATGTTTGCATGCATTTTGCAGTAATTGTATTTGCAAATAATTTGCATGTTGTTTACTATTCCGCTATATTATAAAAATTGGCACATTTTACATTAGCACTATCGAGTAGAGAAAAAAAGTATTTGAAATTGAGGAATTGAATCTATCAATTAATAATTACAGTACTCATTTACAAAGCGCTCATTCCATTTCGATTTTTTTTCATTTTTAGTTATTTCTTTTTATTTTTACTACATTTATTTCTCAATCATTTTAGCAAACACATATTCAATAATAAAATCTTTGATTTCTTTTGAACGTTTTATTATATTTCGTTGAATTTTAAACTAAATTAATTGATTAAATATATATACGTATACAATCAATTAATGCAGATTTAACAACTGTATTTTCATTATTTAGAAAAATATCATTGCAATTATGCAAGCATTAATCTTTTTCATTCATACATAAATTTCGAACCAATTTTATTGTAAATTTCGAACCAATTTAATTTTTCATATTTTGGAATATATTCTGAAGGCTATTTTAAAATAGAATACAAAATAGTTTAATATCAACAAAAAAAAAGTACCGTTCACAGCCAAATATATGACTCAGGCTTACATGTACAATAATGCAACTTATTAACAAATAATTAGTTTACAATCTTTCTTTCCATTTTCTTTCTGACTCTCTTCACTCTTTGTCACTTTCCCTTTCTCTCTCTCTCTCTCTCTCTCTCTAATAACAATAATTACAAAATTCCTTCTCAATTACGTACAAATGAACAAATTTCTATAATTCGATATTAATTTTATAAAATTTTTGGATTTTCTGTTAAGAGCACACAAAAAGATGTAAAAATTTTAGCATGCAATACTTCTGTGTAACAAGATGAAGATGACAAATAATCATTTTCATATAAAATTTAATTGAAATATATTTAAATTTCACTTGGAAATATTTTCATTCACTCTAATCGCGTATAATTTGACCACCACGCTCGTCTACACCATATGGTTCCTGAATGTATAGTTTTATAATTTTGTTACTTATGTGCTTATTTTGTTTTTCGATCTATATCTACTTGTTTACCCAATCATTATTTCTACCAGTGTCATTATTTTTACCCATTATTTATTTGTTTATTTTGTATATTAGTTTATTTATTTAATCATGTCTATTTTTTTTGTACGTCATCAAAGTATTAGTTAGATAGAAAAATAAATAAAAACATAATTTATGTAACAAAATTATAATTATTTATTTATTTATTTACTTCGAGTTTATTTTCCATATTTTGGAAATATCAGATGAACATTCATTTTTGCAATATTCATAAAAAGTTAAAAAGTTATAACGAAATTTAATTTTTTATTGCAGTCAAAATATTTGTATCAAATATGCTAATGAACAATTTTTGTCTAATATAGAAACAATTATACAGTAAGTTATTGTTAAATGAATGAATTAAATAACAGAGTAATATTATTTAATTACATCATTGTAATTAAGATTATTGTTAAGATTACACTATTAAAACTAAGATTATTGTTTAAAATTGCACCATTAAAATTTAAAATTCTTTCCTCTCTCTCTCTCTCTCTCTCTCTCTTTTAAAATTAGATGTATGAAAATTAAAGATAAAACAATAAATTTAAGAAATTCGAGAATTTTAAAAAGATTGCAGAAATACATTATATGTCCTACTTTATGAAGCTAAAAACTTTACTAAAACTAACAATTCAAACATTTCTGTACGGCAAAATCTCAAATAAATCAAATAGTTAATTATAAACGGGTATTTGAAACGGATAATTAATATTAGAAATGCATGGAAATGCTTACATATGCAAAGAACCGAACATTATGCTTCCTTGGATTACTTCGAACATTTTTCAGGTGCATTTGTACATTAACATCCGCATATTTCACTTTTTCATTGTCCAATAATATCTTTGTGAAATTTTCAATCATTTTTCCCACTGATGCCTGTTGCAATCCTTGTTCGACATCTAAGTAATTAGTTAATCAGTTAATTTCAAATAACTTCATTGGTTTTTCTTCGACTATAAAATATCAACTGATGAGTCAGTAATATTAAGTTCAACCAAAAGTTTTTGCTTTCTTGTATTTTAGTTTTTAAGGGATAAATTTAGAAAAATCAATTTATTAAATGTAAAATAAAAATTAATCATTAAATTCAAATAGCTTAAATTATCCTATTCTTATGTCATATATTTGCGGATTCATTTACACTACGCGTAAACATCATGATAGAAATTATGATTAAATTCAAAATCAAAAATCGAATTTAGTTATAATTTCTATCATGAATGTTTATCCGTGGTGTAATGAATCATATATGATAATTTAGAATTTCAAAACAAAGGAAAAAGGACAAAATTCTGAATATAATTTAGAAGTATTTTAACATAAGTTCTATCATTTTTTATCGGTTGTTAATTATATTACTTATATTTGTGAATGTGGAAAAAAAATTTTATTAACTTTAATGAAATGTTTAGCAATATGTCTGATAAAAATGTAGAAGGACAGACTTTGGATTTCTGGTCCAAAGAAATATTAATTTAAGCTAAACAAAATTTTGAAGCTTTTGATAAGATTTAGCTTGAATTAACCTAACAAATTCTGGCCCATCAAATCTTAATTTAATTTTTAAGCTGAATTTAACTATCGAAATAATTTCGCATTTAACCAATGATTATATTTATTATAAAAAACAGAACAAAAATGTAGTTCTGCGTAACCAATGAAATTTAATGAAATGCGATCCTAAAATAATTCCTTTTGTTAAACTTTATACACATGTCCAGAAATAATACCAAACTTAATTTTTAAGGAAATTTAAAAATTAACAATAATTTAACGGAAGAAACCTATTTCATCCTCGCTTATTTCACCTTTTACAAGCTGTCGCGTATCATTCAATGCTTCTTCCAAACATTTATTAAAGCGATTACCGATATCTTCTCGATTTATACCATTTCTGTCCATTTTTATTCAAAAATTTTTTTCTTGTTTGTTTGTTTTTCAAGTGATTCTTAAAGAAATAATAAGATATGCTACTAGCTAAGTTGAATTTTTACAAAATGATGTTCATGTTTGCCGTCTTCTTAAAAAGTTTCTTTGATTGGTTTGAGAGGAAAAAAAAGTTATGCAACTTTAGACTTTTTTGGAAATAACGCTTATCAAAAAATAACTCCCAAGAAAAAGAAAAATAACTAAATATATTTCATAGTTATCCACAATTTAAAGAAAAGCAAAGTCAAATTTTTTCTCAAAGAAGGAAAATTTCTAATTTTCGAAGCATTTATCAATCACTAAACGAAATGATAATGTGATTGAAATTATATCAGAAATATATTTAAAAGAGATAATATAGTTTATCATCTTCGTCATTCGAAAAATGAATTGATTTTAATATTTGAAATACCAACCGTTTCGGGAAATCTCAACGACATTGAATTTTTCTCTAATTTATTTCTCTTATATATTGTTAGCATGTAAAAGATGGATTTCTTTAAAAAACCATTTGATTGATCAAATTGAAAAAAACTGCCATGACTATTAACAAATATTCAGATGTAATAGCTGAATGAAGTAATGCATACGCTAGAAGCTTAATTTCAAATGAAACATTTGGCGGAATTTCTTTTTTCTTTTTAAGTAACGAATAAATGGAAATAAGGCTAAAGCTGAAATCTGATTTTTTAGATCAGATTTCAAATATTCTACAAAATCAATTATTTTTAAACTTTTAAGAATTTGTTAAAAGTTTCAAAATAACTGATTTTGATTAAATTCTTTAATTTAAATTGATTGAAGAATTTAATCAAAATCAATTATTTTGAAACTTTTAAGAATTTAATAGGAAAAAAATTAAATTTTCCTAAAGAAGCGAAAACTTCTTTTAAAACGGTTAAAGTAATCGTAATTCTCTGACATCATAAACACAACTTAAACATTATCAATGATAATTTTTGGCTAACCGGTTTGTTATTGTGATTTAAAAAATATATATAAGGAGGATTATCAGGGACGAGAAATTTACACACAGCTTATGAAGTCTAAAACCAAGCTTAAATTTATAGAATATAAATAATCCGAGAATACAGTTTCAGCCAAATAAAATATCGACAAACATGCAAAAGCTTATGTAGAAAAAAATCGAATAAAGTAAGTTAGTCAACTACATCTTACAACGTAAGAGCTATATGACTATACCACAAGCAATAAATGATTATAAGAAATCGAAATTCACATAAAAAAGGAACAAAACATACCGAACACAGAGAAAGCATATACTTGATGTACGTTGGCAGCGTGCTTGGAGATCATCGCTCACTATTTTTTTTTTTTCATTTGATCTAACACTCACATACTTATATCATATGAAAAGTAAATCAAAGAACAATGAGCGTTTAAAAGGACGATAAGAAAAACTTCTGCTGACTTTTAGTTATGTGAAAACTTTTGCTAAATGAAAAGCAATAGCAGAGAAAATGATATTATTTAGTAAAATCAAAACAATACGCATATCCCATTCCCTCCATTTCTAGCTCTTTCTCTCTTTGTATATTCACTGGACACAATAACAATTCTCAAAAAGTAAGACATCACCATAATCAAAGATACTACATTCTAGTCAATTATTATTGCGAAATTTTTTAATAAAACTTCCAGAAAAGTTAAAGAAATTAAAAATCTCTTGAAGATTTTAAGGCCAAACAGAAGAGACATTGTTTCTGATCCATCACATAGTCTTCATATCATTCAATGGCTTGGATTCACGTGTTGGATATGACAGACCATCAGAATCAAGCGGTGAAGAAATAAACGGGACTAACAATGCTATTAACCAACGTCTACCCATAGCTTGACGTATGTTTTCCATAAATCCAAGATTATATGCATGAACATCCTAAAAAGTATTTACTGTTTAATTAACATTTTAAAATTATAAAAATTTGGAAAAAACTGAAGAAAACTTAAGAAATAATTAAATGTTAAAGTTTCATATTTGAACACAAAAATAAACTATAATATTCTAGCAATACATTCTCAATAAGTGCAGTTAACCAAAAGAAACAAAATCTTGTTATTGCAAGAATATCATTCCTCTTTGTTACTTACTAATCGAGGCTTCTATACTGATATTTTAGCACTATGGAAAAAATGGTAAAGATTGCAAGCATTTACCATAAGATATTCCATACGTGTCTGCCCTCGGTAAAGGCAAAAAAGCTGAGCTGTAATCAAATAACATAAAAAGATGAAAACAGTAAACGAAAAGATAAAAATCATCATGCATAAAAACTGAGAGAAATTGATGATACGAAGGATTAATGCCAAATGAGGCACTATCAATTCCCACAGCTGTAACACTGAAAAACCACCAAGTGTTGTCCACATGAATGACCAATTCCACCTGAAGTATTCAATATATAACTATTATTTCAAAAATATATAATAGCATCTCTGACAATGGAGTCCCTTTCTGCCTAAAATAAGTAATAGTCTGATAATGCAATTGATAAAGTCAAACTTAAGATTCGAAATGATTCCTACTAAAATACGCTTTGACTTAAAAAATATATGAGTTAAAAATTAATATTACTTAACAAACTAAATAAAAATATTTCGACAAACAAAGGCATATCATATAGTTCTGTCTGCTATTCTCTACTGTTTCAATACGAGGCGAACATGATTCCGCGACACAATGACTCGCGCAATAAGGAAGAGATCGTAAAAAGAATATGTTTCCAGATAAAATTTAACTATATTTGTAGTAAAAGAAATTGAGAAATGACTCCAATTAAATGTGTAGACATATAATTTTAGCTATGCTGGCATTTAAGATGAATGATAGCCTTACATCAACATAACAGAGGATATAATCCACAAACTGCAAATAGCACTAATGTAATATCGTTGATTGAAGTGTCCAATACATACGGCAACAAACGAACAATGATGATCACGTCGAAATGCACATCTATCACAGACTGAAATATAAAAATACATTACTTAAAAAGAGAACCAATTATTCGAATTAAAACAATAGAAGTTTAAAAACTTTTGAGTCAAACCTGAAACGCTGTGATATGAAGTAATGGATTTTGTTGATGAAACCAGTCCTATTTCTTGGGAATCAATTTATTCAATACATTGTGAAAGTTGACACGAGCCTTACACTATTAATATTTCATAATCACCCTATATCAATAATACTTTACATGTTATATATCAGCTTCATGCGTTAGAGATTGATTAAAAGTTTGACTAAAATATATTTTAATTAAACAGCACATAGGAATCTTATTTATTGCAGTTGATTATACCAAAATTACCTGGACAATGATGCGATCGTGGAGGTTCATTTAGCTGACAGTTATGACAAAATCGATATCCTCGCTTTTGCACCGCTGGCAAATCGGAACAATTGCCATTTGGTCCGATTGATATAACGTTATACACATTAGCAAAGGCATTTAATCCGAATAACATTAATACACCAACTCTTAGATTCCAGCCCTGAAAAAAGTACGAATATGGCATGAAATTTCTCAGTGAAAAACTAACTGAAAAAAAATAGCAGGAATTGCATTTTTCTTACGTTCCATCACTACATCATCAACTATCCTTCAATGACAAATTTACTTCAGCATTGAAAATATTATGAAGCAAATATAAATTCACGTTTCGTTTTGAGCAAGATAATTTTCTTGTCAATCTCTCATCTGCTTACTCCATTTTTTTGAAGGTAGGCTCTATTGGTTGGATATCTTACTCAGCAGTATACATGTAAAAAAAAAAAGTTTCGTTTCGTTTAAAATGTAAGTCATAATTTGCAAAATATATCTTAAGATTGGATCAAATAAAGTTTGAACTAAACAGAAGTTGTAAAATAATGGGATAAAATTATACCTTCGACATCACTTCATGCTCAGTCGGTAATACCGCAAATATTTCGAATAGAAATCCTAACGGCAGCAATATGAACAAAATGAACATTGCGATCTAAAAGACATTATATATATGACTTTTTGGGTAAGTTCCGAGATTTCAAGAATAAGAAGTGCGAATTTAGTATTGGGAATCAAAGATAAGTGAAGAAGTCAACTTGAAAATTTAAAATAACCGATAACAGTAACAGCCAAGCGATTTACACCGTTACCTAAAATAGTAACAAAGTAATATAAAAACTTGGCTTATCTTTGGAGATTCATGCAATATCATAAATCAAAGTGAAGACGCTTTACTTCATAGATGCAGTAAAGCGTCTTCACTATACTACATGCTTAAAAAGTATCATTGAATTTTTAGCAGATGCAAAAAAAATTAAAGCAAAAAGTAAAAAGATACCCGATCCTGGGTTTCGGATGGTAGCATTTCCCTGAACCGTCCCGTAAAATCTTCGAGCATATCCTTTTGACTGGTGACACTATCGAAATGAAAACGATCCCGTTTGTACTGCATTTCTAAATGAATATCGCGGAAAAAATGCAATGATGGATAGATTAATGGTATATTTCGACAGTTTCGTTAATCAATACAAATCATGAGATTGAAAGAACAACAGCCTATAGTTTTTTATCTCTTGATAATATTTTATACCTTCCATCCTGAATATAATAATCCCATAATGTACATATTCCTCAGGAAGTATAATCGTTTTGGAAATCAGATTTTAGAAATAATCCAACAATATCCCCACTGTATACAATTTCCAAATAATAACCAAAATTTTAACAGAAGAAATCTGACAAAAAAAAAAACACGACTGCATAGTAATAAACAAGAAGCACTGCTATCAATTTACTTCATCACAATAACCTTTGATCCAAGTATTGCGATCATAATGTAACGAAAGATTTATTTCATAAGTCAATAAATTAAATATTAAAAAATGTATTGAGCAAAATTAAAACTTCAAACTTTCCATTTCTTCAAAGACCATCCGGTCTGATTAAGCATCATATCCGGTTATGAAATGTAGCGTACACACTTCTACAACTCCTTCCCCAAAGTAAAATATGCATATTTCGATTGGATTTGTTGGAAGTGGGAAGTAATATTGCAATAATGTTTTGGAAGCCAATCTTTCAGTTAATTAATCGAATAGCGAATGGACGAATTTTGCACTTTGCATACAAATGCGCCAATGTCAACTTTTTGAAATCAAATATGTGACAGGTGGAGGCGTGAGGTTAGACGTGAGGATACACGTTGACGTCACTAAGTATAGTGAGGAATGTGGCAATATTTATCCAAGCAATACGAATAATGTCGTGTGTGAGGTGTGATTGTGTTTTCATTAAACTGTACAATGAAGCAAATTTATAAATTAATTTGTAAAGCGACTTTGTGAAGCAACTTTATGAATAAATTTGTAAAGTTTGTTTTTCTAGTTTGCTGGTATTTCTGCTCTTGACAATTTGAGAAATATGTGTAGATTTTTTTATGCCTGTATGTAGAGTATGTATATATGGATATTTACATCTTTTTAGGATGTATATTCTTGTTGTCAATATTTAATAGATAGCATTAGTTGCATATGTATCATTGTGTGCCTATATCTTGGTATGCATATAAGTGTAATTGTATGCAAATGTATGTATATTTTTTAAGCGCTCATTTGCATATTGGATATCAGGTATTTTAGCGTAATACTTATTGAAATATTGCGGTAATTTCATACGGTTGAATTTGTAAAATCATTTTTTTAGATGTTTGGTCCTAACCGAAAATCGCTTATACCGCAGGTACTTATTTTTCACTACGATTACAATTTTTTTTTTGACCTAAATTATATTATATGAAGAGATTAATAACAGTGGAGTATTTTATTTGAGAGTGTTACTGATGCATTATTCGGTAAGTGGTTATTTTTGCATGCTTCCAACACGTAAGACGATGTTTATTCAGCATAAGCATTGGTGCTTCAGTAAAACAGAAAAGCAAAATCGGAACAGAAGTAAAAGATATACAGAGCAAAAAGAAAGAAAAAATTCTACAGGAATTTTTGCTTCAGGTTAGCAACTCAGCGCAGCGTTCGTCTATCGCTCAAACACCTGTAGGAGGGCGTGGACCACCACATATAGGATACTCTTCTCTGCGATCTTCTAGAGGGTATGTGCCATTCATGTTACAGTTCAGAAGAATATTGTAAATGCGCTGGAATTTATCTTGAATTTATCAACTTAATGAATCGTGTAGAATAATCTCAAGTTTCATGTTTGATCTCATATTTTTCCACGAGTGAGCTCATTCTTCTCCACGACTCACATATTATTTATGTTTGCATAATTTAATGTTTTATGTAATCGTAATAATGAAAATTTCTTATAGTGGTACAACTACTGAGCAGCGATATAGTTTGGCGATGAGTGGAATCCCATCAACAGCATCAAAGTTCGCTTTTTTCTTAATTTTTTATTAAAAATTAAATGTTGCAAGATAGGAAAATAATGGGCTGATGAGCTATCATTAATAAATACAGACTTTTTCTTTCAGGCGAAGCAGCTCGTTTTTTAAATCAGTAGCAAATCCTGGTGTTGTCAAAGATTCTCGCAAACTGAATGATCGTCATGTCCAGCAGGAAATGCAACACAAAGTACTGTTTGTCTCTTTCTTTTTATGACTTAAATAATGTCTACTTGTAACAAAAGTTATTTGGTTTTATTAGGAAAGCTAATAATGCTTCCCAGTGCTATCATAGAATTTCTTGAAAGCATATTACAATACGCAGATTAAATCAATTAGGTTAGTAAGATTATATCTTAACCTGAAAGATTATATTTCGAGAAGTTGAAGATTGTGAGTTAACATTGCCATTTGTTGTCCAACAATTTTATATGGTGAAAATATATCATTGGTGGATTTAGCCATGTGGTGTGGTGCTGACATCATGAATTTTTTTAATGATGATCATGGGCATATCCGATTATATAATGGAAGTTGTGCTTTACTAACCATCCAGCGATGAGGATGTGTTTCTTTTTATAAAAATGAGGTTTCAAAATTTTTGCAGGTTTTGCAATATTTGCTTGAGGAGAATTTTCCGCAAATTAAGGAAACACTTGTTAAAAGTCCGACAAAAGCTGAGTTCGCGCGGATGTTTGAATTCATCTTTCAACAGTTGGCACCAGATTTTACATTGCGGAAGATTGAAGAAGAGGTAAATTTTAAATTATAATAAAAATTTCAAGTATTATTCATTTAGCTTCTCATTCTATTTTCTGAAAAGTAACATTAAGTGATAGAGGCAAATAATAATTTGCGGATCATACTATGATTTTTTTGACACCGTAAAGGTTCGGGAGAGAAAAATTAACAAAGGTTCATGCTTAACTTTTGAATAAGTAAATCATTTGATTTTAGTAACAAACGCGCTATATAATGAGAAATCCCTTATTTCAGATGCCTCGCCTTTTTCATGTCTTAGGTTATCCAGTGCAGTTGAAGCCTTCTACCATAAAAACAATTGGCGCAGCACATGCTATGCCACATCTGCTTGGAGCTATCACCTGGCTAATTGATTTGATTCAAGTAAGTTATTCTTTCAATTATTTCAAAACGTTGGTTGCTGTTGCGAGAATGTATGCTTTCGTACAGTAATAAAGTTATTAAGATCACATTGCGTTGTACGACTAGTCTTAGTAACACCATATCATGAATCATTTGCATTTTAACATATATTAATATTAAGCATATGCACCATGACAGTTATGTTTTTAATATCCCTTTTTTTTCTTTCTTTGAATTTTCTCACGAGATTCAGAAATTAAACTTCTATTTTATAGATGCGGGCGGGAATATCACCACAAGATTTACTTCTTGCGAATGAAGAAGGAGATGGTCAGAGGAGATCGGTAAGTTGATATTCTTGTTCACTTTTCCTAGATAACTGATAGATTGTATAACTTCACAGTTCGATCTTTACTCGCTTCCACCAATACTATGGTAAAAATTACTCTTCATGGTGGTGATTTAGTATTAAAAGTAATATGAATGAAGCATATTTCGATAGACTGTGGCTGTATCTCTTTACATTGGAAATTTGAAAATTTTTTCATTTCCATAATGGAAAGTAGAACATTCGGTAAAGGCGAAAAAAAAACTTGTGTTAAGAAGATGCTGACATTTTATGTGATGGATAATTGTTTTGTGAAACTGCAAGATTCACTTGATTGTTTTAGTTATCTTACGGCTATATAGTTCGGTGTTATAAGAAATATTGCAATAATCCACCATTGGGATTCACTATGGACAATTATGAAGATGAGAACAATGTTCTTCTTCAACTTATTGGTAAATCTGAACAAATTTTATGCTTAGTATAACCTTGATGATGATTGCTTATATAATCTTGTACGAAATGGACATTTCATAGACATTTTTTATGACGGAACGACATCATATCCAAGTCTTAAACGTTATGGACATTTCAAGTTTAGGATCTGCAAGTTTTTAATTACATAAACTTCAAAACTTTCATAATTTTTGAGTTGAAGCATTTTATGGTTCTCATTATGAATTTCAGAAGAAGCAGAAGATATCGTGCAGCAGGAAACTGAATTAGATGCACAGATTGCCACATTAACAGATGAGATTGCAGAGCTCTCTAAAGATACAGCATGTTTTCATTACATTGCTCTGCGCATGTCTTCATTCATTTTTTTTTAAACCATCTTATATTGTCAGGATAATTCAAGTCTTTGGAAAGCTAAATTACTTTTTTTGGAATCATTTTTTCAGAAACTTTGGCTTTAATATAGCTTATCAAATGCCTATTAAATATAAAGATTGAAATACTGATAATAGATTCCGCAACTTAAAATTAGATTTTAGAGATCTATCTATTGGTGTACAAATTTAGTGTGTTACAGGGAGAGCTTGATGAGCTTCAAACAAGCACTAAAGTACTGGAGAAGGATTTAAAAAACTTACAAACATTTAAGGAGGAACAACAAGAAAAACTTGACGAAGAAAAAAAGAAAAGGGTTAATTTTTGTCTCTCTTAAAAATTTTTTTTCTATTTGTGTTATTTTATTACTGGTTTTTTTAATTATTTAGAAATAAAATACACATTCCAGATAGATAATGTTCAGTTCCTTGTTACTTGAAATTATACTACAGGAAAACTTGCAAAATGAAATTCAGCGATACGATCCAATTATTGCCACTCTTAAAGAACAGCTTTCTGTCAAAGAAAAGCAATTAGCAGCGCAGTCAATGACTGGTGAAGAAGCAAGAACTCTTCGTGCTAGAAGAGAAGAGGTCGTTGCATTTTTTTTATATAGAAGGGATATAAGTACTTATAAGTGCCTTAAAAGTTATCGTCCACGATGTGTACTATGAATGAATGTGGAGATAGTTCTTCATGGAAGAAAAATCAGTTATTTTAGTGGCAGGGATTGAATAATGATCCGAGGTAAATGACTTTTTTACAGTTTTCATTAAATGAGGGAAGCTTTCAGTTAAAAACTCAAATTGAAATGGCGAATAAGGAGCGACAGAATATTGAACAGGAAAATGATGCAATTCTTTCCGTTAATTATAAGGAAGCTTCTCAAGTTTGTTATCTGACTTTTTTTATAACAATTATTTGTATCAAATATAACATATAAACTTTTTATCGCTCTCAAGTCATAAAGATAGATACTCTATTTAGTAAGCTTGATGTCATAATAGCTGAAAAGTTTTCCCAACCTCCGTATTGGTAATCGCTTTAAACACTTAATAAGATTTATATCAGTTTTAAAAATTTTGTTGGAAGAAAAGGATTTGTTCTCACTATTTGTTCCTAAGATTTAACATTATGATACAATTACAGTTACGTGAATATTACCGAGCATTTATCAGGGCTTTCGAGGATGTAAGCAGAACTGTGTATGAGACCTATGATCCGTTCTTTGCTTTGCTGGATCAACATTCTCCGAATGAGCCCCATTTTCCGGAACTTATGGACGAAATTGAGGTATTTAATGTTTTATATTTCGGGCTCTGACAACAATTTACTGCTTGTTTCAAATGCTGGTAGCATGAATTTTGTCAAAAGATAGTTTTTTAAGCTTTTAAAATGATCAAAAATTTTCTTGCAGTGGAGTGAAGAAAGCCAAAATAGCTAATTTAAAATTATTTACAGAAGAAGCTAGATGGACTTAGCAAAAAAATTAACGCGTGGATCAAGAATCTGGAAGATAAGCTAATAACTATAAATCAAGATACAGCTGAGCTAAGACAAAAAAAAGCGTTTTTAGTAGAAAATTTGAAGCGCGTTCAACGACAAATTTCAAAAACGGCATGTTTTTATTTTCATATACTTCTAATGTAATTATGCATTAAAATTTGTTCAATATGAAACTGACGTTGTGATAAATCTTTAGTCTCATGATTTTACGCTCAAGCGTGAGGATTGGGAAGAGGAGCGTCGAAAACTATCCTTGAAAGTGGATGTGGCACAGAATGAGCTTGATAGCTTGCATACTTCTCGTAATGGAAAGGTAGGAGCATCTTATTGTTAGATTTTCTTTGTTTCCTGTTTACGCGAAAATCAAATTACTGCCTTATTATTATTACCATGTTGATAATTTCTTTTTTGGAATGTCTGACTAACATTGGATTGTTTCCCAGTGAAATGTCAGATGCCTGTACTATCATGAGATAGTAATGAAGTGAAATCAGACATCCCGATACAATTCCAGCTTTCTGCACATGAACAACTTGCGGAAGCACGAAAGATGTTGCAATCTCGACAAATTGAATTTGATGAGACGAAAAAAAAAATTGTGAATGAGGTGGCGATGAAATTCTCGGATCTAGTGGGACAGTGGGACCACCTTAAGGTGAATATGCATACTCCGAAATTTTTTCAGTGGTTTTCACATTCAGCTAGGACAACTGATAGAGTGTGCATTAATTCCGCTACATTGAATTGACTCGTTATATTGCAGGAATGTTATGTTCAGTTACGTGACGATGAAAAGTTGTTGCGAGATGCTTTAAATAACTTAATTGATGACAACACTTAATGGAGAATAGAAGGCATGCCGATCTCACGTTGGAGTGATCTTAATTGAATCTCTAGTAGAGTTTTCATATCTATCTTGTTTTATATTTTATTCCATTCATATAATTTCCTCTGTGAATTATTGGAACTTCTAACACTTTTATAAACAATCATGAAAATGAACATAAATTATGACATCTAATCAAGTTATCTATAGTGAGATGCGAGTGCCTGAGATTTCATGTGTGTTAAAAAATCAACTAATTTATCGTTCTGCGGTTTGTAACATCAAGGCTCGTGACTAGGAAATTATTTGTCATCCGATATTATAATCTCTTGTATATTATATTCATGTTTTAGATGTCAGTTAGAAAATCACCATTATTTATAATAATTTTAGTTATTCATCTTTTTAAGCACTTCGAGAAAATTTTAAGTTTCAAATCAACACCATATGAAAATAATGAAAATGCTAGTTATAACAAAAGGAAGGACTTTTAAGTCCAAAATAGAAAAGGACGAAATAAGAAAATTAAAGAAGTGCATAAGACGAGAATAGCTATAGATAAGATATAAAAAGATCTTCAGAACATTTTTTACATCCTCAAAGCTTATCATTGCACTGCGGACCTCTTGTTGAAACTCGGAAATATTAAAGGAAATAATGGATGATAGAGTTTCATATAGGTTATCTAACTGGTCATCCACTGTAAAAAACCTGTCTGAAAGACTAGCACAAGTTAGCAAACATGTGCCGTAAATATGTATGAAAATTCCTGCGAAATTTTCTAGCAGTATAAGACACGAAGGAACTATATAATAACAACATCGAAAGTTTCGCGTTAACGACGAGCAATACAATTTAATTTTTATCACACCAGTTTTGTACGTAGAAATTTTTCCACGATTTTAAATTGATATCATAGCCTTGTTCAGTTAAGGCGTAACTGATTATTTCGATCCTATGAACTTCAGCAAATTTAGTGTTGCCTTCCACGGGCTGTTTCCAGATATCGATTATATCGTCCTCTTGTACCTATAATTCCTTATATATTTTCTTCAACTTCTTAATTTCTGAAAAATATCTTTTCCTCCCATAAAATTTATGCATAAATTTGAAACAATATATATTGAATGGAATAGCAACAACGGCGAATTAATCTGACACATTTTCCTTTTAGTCGAAAATTTCAACTTTTCTAGTTTCTATTTAAAATTTTCAAAAAAATAACCCTACGTGTAACTATTTTTGGAAAATTCATGAACGCGCATTTGCTAGTCAGTTATCCATAATTGTCAATTGTCCATAATAATACTTAAGATCAAATCCTTACGTAATAAGCTGGTTTTTTCGGTGTATCTTGCTCGTTTAACTGCACCTTACCCCTTAAAATCAACTGTTCAGCTTGTCTGAAATAAATTTTTCAATATAACTGATTTCGATTGCCCCTATCAATCAACTTCAGATTTTCTCGTTTTTGTATAATAGTGTTAACACTAATACAAAAAGTTCTTTTGCCTTAAAGAATTTATAAATATATATTACTCATGAAAATAGAAGAGTTATTCACGAAAATACTCAGATAATCAAAATTGAGGTTCAATTTAATATTTGAACTAAATCACTCATTTTCGCAAGCAATAATCAGACGAAAGAAAAAGATTGAAGAAATACGGACTTTCGCCCTTGTCCAATTGCCTTGCAAACAATAGAATCGAGTCGCCGACTGCTCACCTTGAAGACTTGTAATCGATAGTCTTTCGGTAAGCCATCATCAATTATTTCAGCGCTAATATCCCTTTTTGGCCGTCGATGATTTGCATAAAGTCCTGCGAATGTTTGAAATTCACATAGCACATGAACAGTGTTATTATCCGTAGTGGGATGTAACTGTAACAATCGTAAAGCTCTTGATATTGTCAACGCTGTCATCTGAAATAGCTTCCATCATTTGATGCTCAATATTCATATACTATTATTCTATAATTGATTACTTAAATTACAACTTTTTTAGCATTTCAAATTAGATTTATTCATTTCAGCTAGATTAGACACTCTAGCAATCATTCATAATATATAATCGGCATCATTTTTGGATCGTAATTTGTTCATATCGTAGTGTTTTCATTGCTAATCATTTAAGACTGATTGATGACATGTTCGTCGAAATTATATCCGAGAGAAATTGCTATAAAACGAAGAATTTCGAATTCTTTATTTATTTATCTCATTTATGCCAAAAAGTTGGAATGCCTCATTAAAAAAAAATCCTTTTCATAAAGAATTATTAAAAATTTTTGATTGATCTGAAAGTGAAGGAGATATAATATGAAAGTTACAGTGGTGTTTAAAATTAAACGGTCAACCGTACCGTATTGGCGTATCAATCATATTCACCACAGTTAGGGAAATTTCTCAAACATCTGCTAAATCATAAATCGAAATTGAGTTGAAAACAAAATTCGGAACGATATAATAAATTAAGGAATGCAGTAAATAATGGTAGAAAGAAATAAAGCGAGAAAATTCGAAAAAGGCAAAAAAAGAAATCGAATTGGAAGCGGAATAAAATGGATTATTATATCAGGTTAACAGTAATCAATCAATAAGCATACCTGAAATAAGCGTAAATAGGTAAACTGATGCTTCCAAAGCCAATATTTACATGCGATTTCTCCATTGCAGGCGTATATTCGAGATGCGATTGATGCGAGTATGTAAGGCATTTGTAAAATGACATTGAGAATTCTCGAGTTTGTTTTTTTTTCCACTCGTGGTTAGGATATGTGATATTGAGAAGAGGTACAAAACTCACCAGTAGTTTATTTTATTCCTAAAAGATTTTATAGGTACCAATTTTTTTCCAATTAATTTTGCTAATTCCCTCATTAATTTCTAGATATAATCAAGTGATGATTAATATGGAATGATATTTTAATTTGAAACATTTTTTTCCTTGTGTATTGTTAGAATGATGCAATTAATGTTGAAATTCAATCACTTTAGTACAGGCTAATAGTTTTGAATTTTGAGAAACAAATTATATATGGGTGAGGGGTTTGAGAAAGTAAAAAGTTTGCAAAATGGTGCTAAATTTCGAAATTGAAAAATGACTTTTCAAAAATGAAATAAGATATATTGTATATTGAGTTATATTAACGATATCTGATAAAATGATATTAAAGTTTCTTTCAGAAACGTTGGCTTATGTGAAAATTTTATAAACGAGATATAACTATCGACAACAATAGTAGTTACTATTGAATATTTGCTATTGGAAAAGCTAGAGCTTTGATACCATGCAGTTGGTGAGAATTTCTAATTGCTAATGTAGCATGTAGCAGTATTTATTATTACCATAACTAATCAATTTGTTACAGTAAAGAAATGATAACAGGAAAAGTAGAGTTGTTCAGTAAGCTAGTATTCAATGAATTGAATTTTATAAGAACTTGCCAATGAAGCATTATTCGATCACTTCGAGTTCCACAAAAATTTTCCAACTTCTCAAGATCATTTTCCTAAACACACATAAGAGTATTGCAAAATAACACAAATACATATCCTGTTGATTATAAGTTAGGATCAACAATTCCAATTAATGCAAAGATTTTATCACGAAGATTTTTTCTTCTTCAGATACCGTTATCACCTGAACCATATCGGCCATGTTTATTGTTAAAGTGTTCATCGGCAAGTATACTGTTAGATTGTGCTGTTAATATGGATGCGCTTTCGTCATTCCTTCCAGCTGCACTTTGTAGAAGGTTATACTATTAGTTTCCCTTTATTTTGTCTTTTTGTTTTCTATAAAATTTCTGGAATTCATTTGCTGTAATAAATCTTCAATTTTTTTTTATCTTATTGCATTATTAATATCAATATTCCTTCGTTGGAAATCGTACTTTTGTTACTTTCTCATTACCTCCGCACTATATGTATCCCATCGATGAATTTTCCTTAAAAAGTTTGTGGATAGTTTATACATTTATGCTATCATTCTGTTACTTGTTTTCAAGAATTTGCACTTTTTAAAATTTTAGCAGACTTTTTTCAAACTTGCCATTGTATCCAAAAAATGCACCGAAGTATTGTCTCAAACGACACGGCGAATATGTTCTTGTTGATGGGCCATTTGAAGTACATCCTGCACAAGTAATTTCTTATTTTTTTTTTGTTTTAATTCATTAGCTGTATTGTTCCTGCTTGAAAATAATTTCCTCTATGCTATTTATGTTTTGTTATTCATTTGTTTCGTATGTTACTATCAATTTTTGATTGCTTTAGCAGAATTGCAATTTTGCAGATTTGTTCCACATCGATGGATTCTGTGGATGCAATATTGGTGTCAAATTGGATGTCTCTTCTTGCATTGCCATTTTTTACAGAAGGAACAAATTTTAGCGGTGTCGTTTATGCAACTGATCCAACACTTCAACTTGGGAGGTATAAAAATAATAAGCAAATGACTTATAATTATTTCATTTAAAGTTAAACTTTGGATGATACTTTGATCGATCAAATTATTGTGGTAAAAGAAGAGAATGAAAAAGTAGATGATTTTCAGGGCATCGGTGTAGATTATATGAAACAATATCATTTTGTTATTATTACCTGATGAATTTTTTAAGATTAGTTATGGAAGAATTGTTGGATTTCTTTGATCGAGTTGATCGAGAAGAACGAGACCAATCATGGAAAAATCCAGCACTATTCATGTATATCCTTGAAAAATTTCTTTGTTTACCCGTGTCCTTTCCATGCAATAACTATTCTTTGAAATTCTTCATCTGAAAGTTTTGTCTTTTCAAGTATCTATCATATTATATAATGATTATTAACGTTACACAATACTTATAAGATATTCATTTTTTCCGGGGCAAAACCTTGTCCGTTTAATCACTTAAATCTTATATTTTAGCTTTCAGGAGTTTCCCCAATGTTCCGACAAGTGATCCGCGCGAATGGAGACCGTTTTATAGTCGTGAACAGATGGAAAATTGCCTGACAAAAGTGCAGCGAATATCATTTCGGGAATCTATTGTAAGTTAGAGAAATTCCCTTACAAAATTTGATTTAAACATTCATTAAAAATATAGAGATGCTTTGTAACAATTTTTAAAATATGATGAACATTCTTGATATTGTTCTCTCTTCTTAAATTCTGAAGAAATGTTAAAGAAAATATTATGAAAGATTAATATAATAGCCAGTAGCATGTTAAGAATGTACATGGCTCTATATTAAATATCTAGATTTGTTTGATCGTATTATTTTGATATCCTAAATAATGGTTAAATTAAATGATATTAAGTATAAATACTACGAGATAGCTATATTCCTGATATATGACTATGCTGCTATGAAAGACACTGGTTATTATTAAACAGTATCGACGATCTGATGGAATTTAAAATAAATCTTTTTTGCTATGTATTTTAAAATTAGTTATTTTGACGATTTCATTTTATAGAACATTCACGGTGCTGCAACTGTTGCGGCATATTCAAGTGGCTATTCAATAGGATCGTGTAATTGGATTGTACATACCGAACATGAAAAGGTATGCATTTTCTATAAAATTTAATTCCATTACATGTTATTTCAATATATTTTGTTTTTTTATGGTACTTAATATGTGTTATTAGTGTATATGAGAAAGATGCATATTCGATTCAGAATGTTTACTTTTATATTACATATGCTTCTCAGATTGCTGGTTCTTTAATATTTTTGTTCCAGTCTATTTTTAATTTTAAAGATGGAGACCGTCTGAAATGGATTTATTCCAAGTTACAAAGATATTTCACATATTTCATGTTTGACATAATTTTTTAGGTATTTGAAAAAACGAGACTTTTAGATGATAATTTCAAAGAATAGTTCAGGGAATATTACATTGAAATCATATGGATAAGCAAGCACAACTTGCGAAGTTGCCTTTGTTAAAATTCTTCATCTAAAAGCTCTAAAATATTATGTAATGATTAAGCAAATTATGACTGTATGATGGAAGTATAAGTTTTTTTCGCTAATTGTTCTTTAGTAGCATGCCTAATTATACGTATTTCGTAAATATTTTCGATACTTTAAGATAGGCTATTTATCAGCAACATCCTCAAGAAATTCACATACGAAACCGGTTCAATGGGATCAACTTCATGGTTGCGATGCTCTTATTTTGACGTCCATTTGTCGCTTTCCAGAACACAGCCCTGAAACATCGGTAAAAAGTTTTGCTGTAATGTGCAATATACAACATTTTTTTCAGTTTATCGGTATTTCTGATCGAATATATCGCGTAAAATATGCTAGTTGGTCATCCATTGGGGTGATGATCACAAAGTGATGACAATAAGTTTTGCAGAAAAAATGGAAAATTTTATAACTTTTTGTAATCTGACTTTTTTCAGCACTTATTAGAAGCTGGATTAAAACTTTATTTGTTAAATCTGTGGTTCATTCATCAAGGCTAGGGATTTCCAAGCAAGTTATTAGGGAAAATATTATTTTTTATCGTATCTTTAAAGATTTTTATTGCTTTTTTTAAAATTTGAGGTATGCCATGCATTTGCCGTTATCGCTGATACACTTAAAAGGAATGGTTCTGTATTGATGCCAATTTGTCCAACGGGTGTACTGTATGATTTGCTTGAAGTTATTTCTGTGCAGTTAGATCAGGTAAAATAGATTGTATGATTGAACAGAATTATTAATATTGTTCTTGATGATTCATATTTTAAGATAATTTTGAATCTTTGTTCAAAAATTCATTATATTAATCAACTGTTGTTTATTAACTAACTATTTCAAGCACGAGGTACCAGTGGATGTTCCTGTATATTTCATTTCACCGGTTGCCGAAAGTACATTAGCGTACTCAAATATTTATGCCGAATGGTTATCTGAAAAGAAGCAAAATATGGTGAATATACCAGAAGAGCCATTTAAACATGGATTGGTACTGTTTTGAAAAAAAATTCAAGTTAAACTAACAAGAAGAGCTGTTAAGTATTAGTTTCATTTGTCTATAATATTCATAACAGTACCTATAAGGAATGGAAGAGAGAAAATTGAAATTAAATAAGTAAGATAATTTTACAAATAGATCAAATACAATAGATCACGCTATTTATGGATTGCTTTTACATATATAGCAAAGTATTTAATTTTATGCTTAACTCGTGCAGCTGGGATCAAGTTCTGAGATTTCATTTTTCAGATGTCAAGAAATGGTCGTTTGAAAGTTTACGATAATATTTATGGTGATTTTTGTCGGCAAATGCGAATTCCATGTATTATTTTTACTGGACATCCTTCGTTACGGATCGGTAATGCTGTGCATTTTCTAGAGATGTGGGGAAATGATTCAAAGAATGCATTAATTATGACTGGTAAAATTTTATTTAGTGTTTTTTGAATTCTTCGATTTGATCATTTAAAAAAGCTAAGCAAGATTTGCTCAAATATTCACTATTGTCTTTTCTTCTTCTCCGAGATAATTCATATGATACAGCCACTATGAATATTATGAACATTCACTGGTTAGATTGTATGTTAGTTGTATTATCGAAAACTTAAATTCCATCAAGAAATTTCTATTTTAGACCCGGATTATCCAATTCAAAGCGTGTATGGACCGTATGAAAAACTTTCAATACGTGCCTTCTTTTTCCCAATTGAAACAAGATTGGATTTTTCACAGCTTAATCCTTCTATATTACCGGATCTAGCGCCAAAGCTTTTGGTCATGCCCGAAGTTTATACACAACCACCACCAAATTCATCCCAACGTACCGATTTCGTTATTGCATATGTAAGTATTTTTTTTCTAAGGTTGAATTTTATTTTCATCAATAGTAGAGTACTGAAATTGAAATGATAGTAATAGTTACGATAACAACAAAGGTAATTATAAATAGTGTTTTTTATTGCATTCTATGTGTTCTAAAATTTGAAAGTGACATGCAGTTAATTAAATTTTATTTGCAGAATACGCGGGCTACTTTTCGTTATGGCGATACTTTTACGATACCTTCAACAACAAAAACAAAACGAGTTCGCTTGCATCCAGATGTATTGTTGTTTTTTGAATTTGCTCCATTTTTCGTTTTAATTTATTTTTCTGAATTAATTTATATAGCAAGTTTTCAGAAAATGTCAATTTTGTTCATGTTGATATTTTTATATCAATTTAAATTAATTACTAATTATAGTGGATTTATTTGATGTATTCGCAGTAGAAGTGAGGAAAAGATGTTTCGAGAGGGAAAGATGGTCGTCAAAGAGGAATTGAAATATTTATGTTCAATCTCCAGGAAATTCACTGCAGTAGATTGAGAGCTGAATAACCCTGACTGTGTAGTTCATTTATTGTGATTATTTTAATATCAGTATTTCAGACTCTTCGAAATATTGAGTTACGTGCACCTCATGATCACGGTGATATTGGAATTTCGCCACTTAAGGGAGTTCTGTCAGTGTATGATAATATTCTAGAACTTCATGTAAGTGTCAGTTGCTGCTAATTCAGTTGGCAAACTTTTTATTTTTGGTAACTTTTACTATGGTTATTATTTCATTTTGTCATTTTTAGCCAGATATGAAATCAAAAATAAGGGATGTATGTGTTGGGAAGCTTGATCCCGAAATATTTGCTCAAACTTTAACAAAAGTAAGTTTACTTTGTTGTCAGCATGCGTTTTGCATACAATTTCAATTCCTTAAGTGAAATGGGAAAGATTTTCCAATTTTTTTTAATGACGACCATTGAATTATTGATAATATAAATACTGATCTGGTGCATATTTTAGTAAATGATAATGCTGCCATGATATCCATCTAGTAGTTCTCAGTAATTATGCTTACTGTAATATATATTCCTTGAAGATTCGTTCCTGATATTTTCAGATGAATTTAAAATATTCACAGAATGAAATTAATGGGAATATTCGTTTCACTTTTGTAAGCATTTATTACTTTTTTTCTTTTCATATTTTAGATTTTATACGAAATGCTAAATATTATTTTCAAATGGTAAATGTAAAGGATATTTTTTCTCACAAGCAAAATGAGTTTTTTTTTTTTTTCAAATGTCAACTCCAGAGACTATCATTCAATGTTAACTATAGATTATTTACAAATTTAATGTACGGAAGTTTTAGGACACTCTCAATGCTACTGTATGCATTGAAAATGATGGCTTTCGGACGGTTATCAGCAGCCAAAATCGAGAAAATCGTCAAATATTATCGGAAGCTGTTGCTATTTGCTTGAAAATGCTATAAAGCAGTTCTTTATTTATTTCTCTTTTCTGGTGCTATTTTTTTCCTTTTCCTCTTCTCCTTTTTGGTGCTGTAATCATTTTCACTGCACAATCATTTTTAATGCACAATTTTTACAGAAAGTTCAATTTAGTATATTTGTTTGATAAAATTAGAGATAGTAACTTGCTAACATATATATCCAACTAAATATTTCATAATTCATAGAATGATCCTAAAAATTGAGACAAAAAGGAAAGAAATTGAAGAAAGTTTTACGAGTTGACAAAAGGCGAACTCATTAAACTAAATTTGATTTATCGTTTCTACCTCACTTATGATGTACATTTAATGTTATTATCTTCCCAGTAGCTGATATATGCACAAATTATTCATTATATTCTCTTGTTAGTCGTATTTATTTCCTGAAATATTTTCCTATAATAAAGAATTGAATGTTTGCATAAAAATTTTCATTTTCAGCGATATTATCCACATTTGCAATATTGTTTACTGCTTTTATTAGGGAAAAAGCGAATTTTACATCTAATTTAAAAGAATTCAATTCTAATAATAACTGCAATAATTATTACGATTTATTACTCATTAATCCTATTATATTAATCTCCATTCGTTTCTTTCGCATTTTATTTTCTCTCCTGTTTATTAAACTTTTAATTTTTTATTATGAATTTCGTAAATTTATTTTGATTATTAGAATCATCTAATATGCTATCGGTCCTTAAGAATATAGGAAAATAAATTAAAAAAAAAACATTTGATCAGAAAGGTTTAATGATAATACTGTTGTTTGCGAGGGTATATGGATATAAAATATATAAGTATGAATAGTTTTTATCTTTGTTAACTATACTTTAATATTACGGGATTAATTGGTACAGATAAATATAATCCTGTGAGTCATTCATCAAACATTAAATAAGACAGATTTTCATGAAACAATTTACGGTAAAAAAGTCTTGTTGTATAGATATATGTATTATTAAAATTATTATTGTATATGATTTAGATTTTTTACAAAAGAGGGAAATTTTATTTTCTCTAAAAGTAATTGAAAAAATCGTTGATTTATCATATTTGAATCTTTCACCTAAGTAATAAGTATTATTTGATTTCAGCAATTGCAAGTAATTAATTTCTGATAGAATGCAAAATATCTTTTTATTCAGAATAGATGTGTAGGAGTAGATGATGCGATTATATTGATTTATATTTGTTATGTCCGTATTGGATTATTTCAGTAGTATTAATAATTAATGATAATATGTTCATTGATTGATTTTAGAATTTGTGAATGTAGTTTGCAAACATTATAATGTCTAAATTTAATCAGCCGACAACAAATTTAATGCTTAATTTATCATACTAGAAACATTTATCAATTATTATTTATTGAATGGAAGAAAAAATAACGTTTACCAGTATTGCTAATATTGCTCGACAAATTAATTTAAAAACAATAAATTTCAGCCAATTCAATGAATATATCTCAATTTAAGTTGTCATTCAACTTGTTCGAAATATAACCTATATTAGGTCAATTTATTGCGTAAGTTTAAAGATATCATGGAAGTATTAACACGAAATTATTAAATGTTAAATAGCTTGCCATGAATATCACTTCTATTTTGGACCTTTCATATTTTCGTTTATTGAATGTGACAGGTAATTATAAAGTTTGCAAATGCAAGCAATGCAAAGGTAGAAGGAAAGGAAGTAAATTAGAAAGTTAAAATTTTAAATTTTTGATAAAATCTTAAGAGCAAGGTTAGTTTAAGTAACTGCATATTCACAAATAATTGAAAAGATTTTATATTTTATTTTAATCTTTATGACTCGTTCAAAAAGCTCTGCCAATAAAAGTACCATTGAAATGAATTAGTTTGCATAATTGCCATAGAAGTAGCAAAAAAGTAATTCCTTCTTAATTCTGACTCATTTTAAATTCAGCTTTTTTTTTCACAATTCGAATTTACCTTCTGTTTTCTAATTTTTGTTTTTTTTTATTATCCCAATTTTTTTTTAGCAAAAAATTTATTGATTTTTAAAATAGATCAAAAAGACAATAAGAGAGTATTTAATTTATCTTTTTTATAGTTAACATTGAAGTGATTACAAATTGGAAATCATGTGATCAACGATCAATGAATAGAGGTGAAAGATTTCCGAAGAAATAGGACGAATTGAAACGATTAATTGATTTCAAAAAATTGATGAGAATATTGAAAGGTGGAAGAATTTCTTTTTTTCTGCGATGCGACAATAAAATAATATCATTAATTGTTTTTTTTTCTCATTTTTGGAAATATTCATTCGTATGAAAGCAAGTGATCTTTTTTATTTGTCTTAATTAATTCTCGTTTTTTTTTTTTGCTCCTTTGTTAATTCCTCATTTCTTTATAATTGGATGTTAGAAAAACGAATAGGAATTTTCCATTTTTTCGCTGATTATTTTGAATTTAATTGAATACAATTCCTATTTCAAATATTTTTTTGGCTTTTATTTAATTAAAATTGTACATTAATTCGCAGTATATCTACCAGCCATCCAAGTAGCACTATTTTTTTATT